CTAATCTTTTTACTGTCTTCATAGTTTTGTGTTTTCCAGAATGTCATATACTTGAAGTCATATAGTATATAGCCTTTTCAGATTGTCTTCTTTCACTTACTAATAGGCATTTAAAGTTCCTCCATGTCTTTTCATGGCTTGATAGTTAATTTCTCTTCAGCAATGAATAATATTTCATTGTCTGGATATACCGCAGTTTATCCATTCAGTTTATCTTGGTTGCTTCCAAGTTTTGGCCTTTATGAATAAAGATGCTGTAGACATCTGTGTGCAGGTTTTTATGTGAACATGTTTTCAATTCCTTGAGTTAATACCAAGGAGCATGATTGCTGGATTGTATGGTAAATGTATGTTTAATTTTTTAAGAAACTGCCAAACTATCTTCCAAAGTGGCTGTAACATTTTTTATTCCCATCAGTAATGAATGAAAATTGATGTTAATGTTCAAACCTTATTTTTTTGTTTAAATTCACAAATTGAAGGATATGTTCATTTTAAGTGTCTGCACACAGCACCATCATTAGATATTTTTAATTGTTAACTTGTTTGTTTATTCAATGGGCAGAAAGTAGCTATCTTATTTCAATATTTTGTGTGCTTGATTACTGAGGGTTTTTTTGTTTGTTTGGTTATCTATAGTTCCTCTTTTGTGATTTTCTACATTTCTAATCCACTTTTCTATTAACATGTCAGTGGTTTTCTTATTGAGTTGTAAGAGTGCCTCTAATGACCTCTATTTTCTTTAGTTTCCCAGTTTATAGTTTATAGTTCTTTTTTTTGTTGTTGTTAATCCTCACCTGACGATATTTTCCCATTGATTTTTAGGGAGAGTAGAAGAGAGAGGGAAAGAAACATCGATGTGAGAGGAACAGATCGATTGGTTGCCTCCTGCATGAGCCCAGTTCTGGTGGGGAGGAGCCTGCAACTGAGGTACTTGACCTGGACCGGAATCCAACCAGGGACTCTGGTCCGCAGGCCAAACTGGCTAGGATTTATAGTTGTTTTTTAAAACATATATAAACCTAAATTATTTTGTGTATTTATTGATTTTTTTTTTTTAGGGGAGAGAAGGGAGGAAAAGGGAGAGAGAGAAAAACATCAATGTGAGAGCAAAACATCCATCAGCTGCCTCCTGCATCCCCTTACCTAGGGATGGAGGCTGCAACCTGGGCATGTGTCTGACCGGGAATTGAACCAGCAACCTTTCCGTGCGTGGGATGATACCCAACCAACAGAGCTACACTGGCCAGGGCGGTTTTGTGTATTTAAATACCATCCGACTTTCAGTAGGTTGTTTACTCATTTTTAAATTTAGGAATTCTCTGCTTTGAGAGATCCAATATCTTTTTTGTTGTTGTTGTTGATTTTAACTCTTTAGTCCATCTAGAATTTATTTATTTATTTATTTTTAAAAATATATTATATTGATTTTTTACAGAGAGTAAGGGAGAGGGATAGAGAGTTAGAAACATCCATGAGAGAGAAATATCGATCAGCTGCCTCCTGCACACCCCCTACTAGGGATGTGCCCGCAACCAAGGTACATGTCCTTGACCAGAATCGAACCTGGGACTCTTCAGTCCACAGGCCGACGTTCTAGCCACTGATCCAAACTGGTCAGGTCCATGTAGAATTTACTTTGCAGCATGATGTAAGGTAAAGGTATGTTTAGTCTCCATATGATTAATGCTTTTACTTTTAATATTAGCTCTATCATTTTATTTTTAAAATATATTTTTATTGATTTCAGAGAGGAAGAGAGAGAAACATCAATATGAGAATCATTTATCTGCTGCCTCCTGCACACCCCCTACTGGGGATCGAGCCCACAACCAGGCATGTGCCCTGATCAGAATCGAACCTTGGACCCTTCAGTCCACAGGCAGATGCTCTATCCACTGAGCAAAACCAGCTAGGGCAGCTGTATTATTTTAAAATGCAATTTTCGCCAAAACCGGTTTGGCTCAGTGGATAGAGCGTCGGCCTGCGGACTGAAAGGTCCCAGGTTCGATTCCGGTCAGGGGCATGTACCTGGGTTGCGGGCACATCCCCAGCGGGGGATGTGCAGGAGGCAGCTGATCGATGTTTCTCTCTCATCGATGTTTCTAACTCTCTATCTCTCTCCCTTCCTCTCTGTAAAAAATCAATAAAATATATTTAAAAAAAAAAAATAAATAAAATGCAATTTTCAAGCTTCTTTTTAGTAATGTGTGTAGGCTAATTGGTTCTTGGTTCATTGTGAGGTTTAAGGATGAGGAAAGATGACAGAAATTTTAGTGACAGAATATATTTTAGCAATGAAAAAATGATTACCTCTTATCTGACAAATCTATACTTTCTTATTACAGTTAAATATTAGACAGCATTTCTGATTTAGCCTACAGCTAGTACAGCAAAAGCATCTGTATTTTCTGGAAATAACATTTATTTATGAAGAAAATTATGTCAGAAGCCTATTTAAAGTGAGAAGATTCTAGACTCTTCAGATAGTCCCGGAGTTTGAAAAAGGCTTGTGCTTTGGCCGGAGCCCAGGAGAGGAAGTGTCTGCAGCTGCGGCATTCTAGAAGCTTTCCAAAAGACTTACTGTCAAGCAGCCAAGCGAGCAGTGGATTTTACTACTGTGTGGTTCTGGAAGTATCTGGAAGCTTGCAGCAGACTTGAGGGAGGAGCCTTAGGAGGACTTCCAGAATGTCGGTTTCGCTGGTGATCTATTTTATTGAGATTCAAGTTAGGAAAGTGGGCTCTACTTTGTTTTTGGAACAGGTTGCTTTCCAAGGTGGACTTGAACCTGCTGGTTTAGATGAAGTCTCTCGGGAAGGGTCAGACAGAGGTCTCTGCACAAAAGAAATAGGATGACAAGTCAGAGTAACCAGTGGCTTGTTGCTGGGGCAAATGGAACTGTAATGGTAACTTATTCTCCTGTAAGGTAGTAAGAAGGACTTAAAGTCCATGCATATGATGGAAAAGGAGTAAGAGAAGAATGCCAACAGGGCATTTTGGGAAAGCAGGGTAAAATCCTTCTGTTGGTTATTGATATCTGCATCCACTATGAAGAATACATTCTAGAAAGACAGTGCTACCAGGGATGAATTTAAAAGAGCGGCTTTGCTGCCAGGTTAAAAAAAAAAAAGCCACAGCTATGTGGCTGAGGATTTTTACGTAGAACACAGTGGATAAGAGAAAGAAACTCAACATTGAGTCTTTTGAGAGAAATTACTAGCTTAAATTGACAGGGCTGTTTATTCTTTTTGGATTCTGTACAACTTTTTAAAAATAACAGCTTTTTTGAGATATAATTCATACTCCATACAAATTATATGTTCATAATTTAGTACTTTCACAATGTTCTTCAACTATCAGTCTATACCAGCGGTTCTCAACCTGTGGGTCGCGACCCCTTTGGCGGTCAAACGACCCTTTCACAGGGGTTGCCTAAGACCATCCTGCATATCAGATATTTACATTACGATTCATAACAGTAGCAACATTACAGTTATGAAGTAGCAACAAAATTAATTTTATGGATGTGTCACAACATGAGGAACTGTATTTAAAGGGCCAGAATGTTGAGAATCACTGTACAGTCAGTTTTAGAAGACTTTCATCACCCACAAATCCACAACTTTTAACTTATTTTTTAAAATATATTTTTATTGATTTCAGTGAGGAAGGGAGAGGGAGAGAGAGAGAGAAACATTAATGATGAGAGAGAATCACTGATTGGCTACTTCCTGCACACACCCTACTGGGGACCAAGCCCGCAAACTGGGCATGTGCCCTGACGGAATTGAGCTGTGACCTCCTGATTCATAGATGAACACTCAGCCACTGAGCCACGCTGGCCTGGCTAATTGAACTTATTTTAAAATTTAATACTGTCTGGCTGATGTGGGTCAGTGGATAGAGTGTCGGCCTGCGTACAGAAGGGTCCCGGGTTCGATTCCTGTCAGGGCACATGCTGGGTTGCAGCCTTGATCCCCAGTAGTGGGTGTGTAGGCGGCAGCCGATCAATGCTTCTCTCCCATCATTGATACTTCTTTCTCTCCCTCTCCCTTCCTTTCTGAAATAAAAAAAGAAAATATTAATACTATATAGGGAAAGGATGGATCAGGTTGGAAATTAGAGGATTAATCAGAAATCTCTGAAACCTTCTTTCCCTTTAAAACATACTGTTAACATTTTAGAATGCATTTCGGTGATATTTAAGTTACTTTAATAAAGTAGACTATTTTATGGGAAATCAATGGTTTAGCTCAGGTCACAGTTATTTTTCAGGCTATGTGAAAGTTGTTACCCATTTACTCTAATTGTAGTAGTTAGTATTAAGGAGAAAATAAACTCAGGTTGACTGGTTAAGCATAAATTATCAGGTGATAACAAACGCCTTTTTTAAATATGAAAACTCAAGTTAGTACTTTAATTATATGAAAAATAAGATAATGGCGCTTATTAAATAACTAAATCAATTTACAAGAATTAGCAACAGTTCCATGGGCAACCCTGGGGTCTGACTTACATTTTTGTTTATAAGAAAAACTAGAGGCCCGGTGCATGAAATTTGTGTGGGGGGTCGGGGGGGTCCCTCGGCCTGACCTGCACCCTCTCCAATTCAGGAGCCCTCAGGGGATGTCCTACTGACGGCTTGGACCCCCTCCCCGTGGTTCTCTGCTCTTTGCGGGGCCTGCCTGCTCCACACCATGGGGATGGGCAAGCAGGCCCTGCTGGGTGCTGCCTGCAGGCTGCGCTTGCCTGCTCCCGGTCGCCATGGCAACCGCCACTCAGGCCCTACTGGGTGCTGCCTGCTGGCGCACTTGCCTGCTGGGCTCACGTTGCCGGGGTGACGTTGCCAGCGTCCTGCCCCAGCCGCTATGGGCGCCGCCATCTTTGTTGTGGAGTGATAGTTAATTTGCATATTACTCTTTTATTAGATAGGAAGGATAAGTTAGGAACGTTTCCTACCCTTTTAAAAAATTTTTGTAATGGCCATATTTTTCTTGTAGGTGTGTGAACCTGTAAAATTATGACTTCCAAGATGATCCGGTATATTTTAATTGTAGGGATTCTACTTCCCCAGTCTTTGGCCCATCCAGGCTTTTTTACTTCAATTGGTAAGTCTGAACTCTTTCTTGGTTTGTATTGTTTTTGCATTTAAAAATTTCCATTTTTTAGTGTTTTAAATCAGTAAAAAGAAATACACTGTCTTTCCAGAGACTGAAGCATTGCTTTGGTCCAGTGATGGCGAACCTGTGACACGCGTGTCAGAGGTGACACGCGAACTCATTTTTTTGATTGATTTTTCTTTATAAAAAATATAAATCTTTGGTTTACAATGGTTGCAAATATCAAAATATTTCTACATGTGACACGGCACCAGAGTTAAGTTAGGGTTTTTCAAAATGCTGACATGCAGAGCTCAAAAGGTTCACCATCACTGCTTTAGTCCCTGCCCTGCTAAAAGATACTCTCTTTTTTAAATTCCTTCCTTCCTCCCTTCCTCCCTCCCCTCCTTCCTTCCTTTCTTTCTCTTTCCCTCTTTCTCTCTCCCTTCTTTCCCTCCTTCCCTTCCTCCTTGCCTCCCTCCCTCCCTTTTTTGTTAATCCTCACCCGAGGATATTTTTTCATTGAGTTTTAGAGAGAGTAGAAGAGAGGGAAAGACAGAGAAACATTGATTGGTTGCCTCCTGCACAAGCCCTGACCAGAGCCCAGGCTGGGGAGGAACCTGCAACCAAGGTATGTGCCCTTGAGTGGAATCGAACCTAGGACTCTTTGGTGTGCAGGCCAATGCTCTATCCACTGACCCAAACTGGCTAGAGCTTGTTTTTCTTTAAATATTTTTTTCTGATTTCAAAAGCAATACATTTACAGGTTAGAAACTAATGAAAATTTAGGAAAACATAACAAAGAAAATTCTATTAATGGGCCACTGAGCATATAATTTAATGCATATACTCCATTTAAGAACCTACTATGAATACAATGTATTTTTTCCTATATCATAATATAATTTTTAAAAATATAGACACCAATATCATTACACTAATAATGTATATTTTAAAAATATTTTTTATTGATTTTTTTTTTTTTTTTTTTTTTTTTTAGAGAGAGAGGAAGGGAGAGGGATAGAGAGATAGAAACATCATTGATCGGCTGCCTACTTCATGCCCCCTGGGGATATGACCTGACTGGGAATAGAACCAAGTGACCTCTTGAACCATGGGTTGATGCACAACCACTGAACCACACGGGATGGGCCTACATCATAATTTTTTTAAAATCTTTTAAGTATTGTAAAAATAACATATTGATTAAAGGGGAAAAATCAGAGTACATGGAATATTAGACATCCACATGTCCTCTTTCCCCAGAAATAATTCCTCGTGGGTTGATGTACATCCTCTTATATTTTCCTGTATGCATACTTCCTTTGTCTTAAAGCCGATGTTTTCCTTCCCTCTGGTGACCAGTCCTTGAGTGATTGTAGAGCTAACTAAAACACAAGTAATTTCAGGATATAAAATGATGAATTCTCTCATCCCATTATAAATAAGTACGGATTATTTGATTTTCAGTTGTGAAGAATACTTTTTTGTTAGTGTAGTTTTTACTTATGGAATAAAAATTTAATTCTAATTAGCTTCAGAAGTTTTTTAAAAAGGTGCCCTGGCTGGTGTGGTTGAGCATTGTCCTTTGCAACCAGAGGTTTCCAGTCAGGGTACATGCTCAGATTTCGGGCTTGGTCCCAGGAAGTGGCATGCAGCAGACAGCTGAAGGATGTTTCTCTCATTGATGTTTCTCCCTCTCTCTCCTTAAAATAAATAAAAACATATTTTAAACAAACAACTAAATAAAAGGTGAGGGAGGAGGTGGGGAAGAAGAGACATTGATCCTTGGAAAGTAGTGTTGTTATATTTTTGTTAAATACTAGAGGGCCTGGTGCATGAAATTCATGCATGGCGGTGGTGGGGGAGTGTCCCTCAGCCCAGCCTGCACCCTCTTCAATCTGGGACCCCTCGGGGGATTTCAGTTTGCTGGTTTAGGCACGATCCTGTGGACATTGGATGTCTAATATTCCATGTACTCTGATTTTTCCCTTTTAATCAATGTGTTATTTTTACAATACTTAAAAGATTTAAAAATATTATGATGTAGGCCCATCCAGTGTGGTTCAGTGGTTGTGCATTGACCCATGGATCAAGAAGTCACTTGGTTCTATTCCCAGTCAGGTCATATCCCCAGGGGGCATGAAGTAGGCAGCCTGCGGGATCGGGCCTAAACCAGCAGTCTGACATCTCTCTCACAATTCGGGACTGCTGGTTCCTAACCACTCACCTGCCTGTCTGCCTGCCTGATCGCCCCTAACCGCCTCTGCCTGCCAGCCTAATTGTGCCCTAACTGCTCCCCTGCTGGCCTGATCGCCCCCAACTGCCCTCTCCTGCTGGCCTGATCACCCACCTCCAACTGCCCTCCCCTACTGGCCTAATTGCCCCCAACTGCCATCCCCTGCTGGTCTGATCGCCCCCAACTGCCCTCCCCTGCTGGCCTGATCGCCCCCAACTGCCCTCCCCTGCCTGCCTGATTGATTGCCCCAACTGCCTTCTCCTGCTGGCCTGATCGCCTCCTAACTGCTCTCCCCTGCTGGCCTGATCACCCCCTAACTGCTTGCTCCCCCATGCCGGCCTTATCTTACTCCTAACTGCTTGCTCCCCCGTTCTGGCCTGATCTCACCCCTAACTGCTTACTCCCCAGCCAGCCTGATCACCCCTAACCACCTCTGCCTCGCCTGCCCCTGTGGCTTTGTCTGGAAGGAAGTTGGAAGTCTGGAAGATGTCCGGTCGACCTGGTCTAATTAGCATATTACCCTTTTATTAGTATAGATATTTTTAGTGATTTCAGAGAGGAAGGGAGATGGAGAGAGAGATAGGGGCACCGGGCCCCTAGTTAAACTAATAATTGGCCTGCACCCTCTCACAGTCTGGGACCCTTCAGGGGATGTCCAACTGATGGCTTAGGCCTGTCAGTCAGACATCCTTAGCACTGCCGTGGAGGTGGGAGAGGCTGCCGCCACCGCCGCCATGCTTGCCAGCTGTGAGCTCAGCTCAGGGCTTCTGGCTGAGCAGTGCTTTCTCTGTTGGAGCACACTGACCACCAGGGGGTAGCTTCTGCATTGAGCATCTGCCCCTGGTGGTCAGTGCATGTCATAGCCACCGGTCGTTCCCCCCATTTGATCTATTTGCATATTAGCCTTTTATTATATAGGATTAGTCTAAAATACTTGTGCTGATGGAATATAGGTATTTGCTAATCTTTCCTCCTTCTCTTTAGGTCAGATGACTGATTTGATTCATACAGAGAAAGATCTGGTGATTTCCCTGAAAGACTATATTAAGGCAGAAGAAGACAAATTAGAACAAATAAAAAAGTAAGCAAAGTGTTTTATTTATTATGACTTCTTTCTAGAGCTAAAACATTTGAGTAGAAATTAAAGCCATCAGTCAGTCTTAAAAAGCCAGCTGAAATGGCTTAAATAGGAGCACAGAAAACAATAGTTAGGCTTGGGCCAAGAGTTCACATGGAAGAACATGGATTGAGATAATATAAATGGGTATGGGTTGTTGACTGACAATTTTTTTTAAATGTTTCCTAATAGCTTCTGTTCTATAACCTCCCTAATCAAGCCACTTTCTGGAGCAGTTCCCCAATTCTATTTATCCTTCACTCTTATGGTTCCATTCTAGAGATTACAGGATAAGTGTAGTTAGTATTATTTAATTTATATAGTTTTTCCTCAAATGGTAATTTATTTTTAATTGACTCAGGTTCATAGTTAATCCTAACTTGAGAATTACTATTTTTTGTTTAACGAGTAGCTAAGTAATCAGTTTTTGTTTTAAAATATAGTTCCTACGTAATGAATGTGAACTTTTGGTGAATGTTTGATTTAAATGGAGATATAACTGAATTTGGATTGAGCTAATTTATACTTTGTAATAATGTTATTTGGCTTTAAGGACCTGAGGGGAAATGAATTTTTAGACTGTTATTAGAGGGATCCAATCATAACTTTTACTAAGATAGACTTCATTTACTGTAACTACTTGGGAGAAATAAAACTAAAAGAGAAGTCTTGTAGTTATACTTTGATTTTGCCATTCTAGATTTTACCCCTAAGAGAATTTTGCTTTTTAAAAAACCTTCATAATTTTACTTTTAAAAATAATTTTTAGATATTGTTTTAATTAAAAAACCTGTAATCTAGTCTCTTTTTATTTTTTTAGTGCTTTACTAAATTGTGTTTTTCTTTTTATACACCTTACATGTATAGATGGGCAGAGAAGTTAGATCGGCTAACTAGCACAGCGACAAAAGATCCAGAAGGATTTGTCGGGCACCCTGTAAATGCATTCAAGTTAATGAAACGTCTGAATACTGAGTGGAGTGAGTTGGAGAATCTCGTCCTTAAGGATATGTCAGATGGTAAGACTAATGAGCCCAAAAAGTAAGGCACTATTGCTACCACCTGTAGAAATGCCAAAAATAGCAATATATTCAGTTCCCAGAACATCAAGTGTTTATTGTTATAACTGAATTATTGCTGGGGTATATTTGTTCTGATCAGAGTTAATTTATTTTAATCCCAAATTTCTTGATAAAAAAATAAAAGATGATTAAAAACTGGAAACAAAGAAATAAAAATAAAACTTCATTGCCAAAAGAAGTAATTTTTGCTGTTAGTGACTAACACTGCTGCTTTTTGTTTTGAGATCTACAAATGTGAATTGATTATTTGGGATATAGCTTCATTTCTGAAGATAGTCATTTTCATTTTATTTTATTTTTTAAAAATATTTTTATTTTTTGATTTCAGAGAGGAAGGGAGAGGGAGGGATTGAAACATCAATGATGAGAGAGAATCATTGAATTGCTGCCTCCTCCACTCCCCCTACTGGGTACTGAGCCCGCAACCTAGAATTGAAACCCACCCTTCAGTCTGCAGGCCAACTCTCAGTCCACTGAGCGAAACTGGCTAGGGCAATTTTAGGATTGCCTTCAGACTGTAGAAATGGAAGGGTATTGGCTTTGACTTGTGCTAGAGCTATGTCTGTTCTTTTCTGCGCATTGAAAGGACTATTTAACCTTTAAAAATGTATTTATAAAGTCAGCATATTATATTAATTGTATTGAAGGGTATGAATGACCCCAAATAAATCTTCAAAAATGTACTTTATCATGAACTATATATAGTTGCATCTAATTGAAGAATTCTAGTGTTAATGGTGGTTTTGTAATTCTGTTTATTGTTTTAAAAATTTGGGGTAAACTTTATTTTCTAATCAATTTTTAATGTATTGGAAGTAGTGGTACTTTATAAGAAAAAGTGTTAGCAGTGTTCAACATAGTATTTTGAAACTTAGGATTGTTTTACTTAACGTAGATAGTAAGTTTTAAAACAGAGGCTGCAAACAGTAATAATGAATGTTTTTGTAGTTGAAACAATAAATTGTAGTTTAAGGTATTTTAATACAGACACAGAAAACTAGAAGTTTAAGGAAGTAAAGGGATTATGCTTAGTACATACTAGAAGCTCAAATATCTGTTGAATTACTGAAGGTTGCAAAAAAATTATTTTTTTAAAGAGAAGGGAGAAAATTGAGCTAGCTGCATAGATGAAACACTGCAAGGGTGCTTACAAGTGTTTGTGAGCAGTAAACTAAATTATTTTGCATAGGATAGGAAACCTTGAAAAGAAAAATTAAGGCAAGAGCTATGAATACTTATTCATGATGAGAGGAAATAACTGTGATTATTTTTACTCTTATATAACACCATGAGAACATTATAAAGGTCATGAAGAAATATTCATTCATTTATTTAATTTTAAAATTCTCAAATAATGATCTGTATGTCCTGAGCTCTTTTATAAGGTAAACCTTGAGACTTTGACATTTTAATTGTGGTAGTCATTCAAGAGAGGATTTTGTTTTGGGGCCTAAAAAATACAGTTATCTATAAAACTTGCTTATAAAATTCCATGTGGATATTGTGACGGAGAGTTGCCCTTAAAACTAAAAAAGTATACTTGATGAACACTATATTCAATAATTATATCCAAGTATATTTTAATAAACCAGCTTACCTGATAATCTTAAACATATAATTAATAATTCTTCCTCCCCTTAAAGAATTCCACCGCACTTTGTATTTTTATATTTATATAATGTGTGGCACATGGAAGAAGAAAAAATAGACTTTAAGAGCATACATTTTACTTACCAACTGTTATATGAAAGTATAATTGGTTGCTAATTGAATATCATTTTCAAATCCATAAATCTGTTCATTTTTTAAGCTTAGTGGAGCCTATGTTGTATAACTAAAAGCTCAATTATTATGTTAGTTGATCTTTACTTATACACAGACATAATTTATGCATTGACTTCGGGTAAGCAACATTGGAAGGGTTCGGGAAGACTGATTGAGTTAGAGGCATGTCAAGTCTGATTCAGTGCAGCTTTTTTCTCGTTGAGCATGTGGAAAATTAAAACAAAATCAGTTTTGAGAAATCTGATTTGGAAATTTGAAGTCTCTGAATTTCTAGAGTCTCTCTCTCATTTCAAGGCTTCATCTCTAACCTGACCATTCAGAGGCAGTACTTCCCTAATGACGAAGATCAGGTTGGGGCCGCCAAAGCCCTGTTGCGTCTCCAGGACACCTACAATTTGGATACGGATACTATCTCAAAGGGTAATCTTCCAGGTAAGAATTCTTAGTCCATAAAATACCTACACCTGGCTTCTCTGTGCAGTCCAGTAGGACAGTGTAAACGTAAAAAAGACTTCTGTATTTTAAGATTTTTAACTTCAGTTTGTTTCACAGCCTTGAAAACAAAACAACCCTCCATTTCAGTAGCCCTTAATAGTTGTGGATAAGCTTCTTGCTTGTTATTTTGAAAGCTTATAATTATAGGGACTAAAGTTAAGTAGGCAATTTTAGTGTGTAAGAAAAAGAAACAATAATTTTTCCAAATGTTGTTTTTTTATAATACCCAATGTTTGTATATAAAGTTATGAGGGAATTGATAATCAAAGTTTATGTGTTTAGTGATTAAAAACCAAGACCTGTTGGGTATATGTAAATTTTTAAAATGTCCTGCAGTGTAGAACATCCTGCTTTCTGACCCAGTATTTTTGGCAAAAAGTTCTTTTGTTGTTGTTATAGCTGATTATTTTGTAATAATTTGCTTTACATTATTTTTTATCATACAACAAAATTTACTGTCTTAACCAGTTTTATTTATTTAAAAAAATTTTTAATCCTCACCTGAGGATGTTTTTCCCTTGATTTTAGAGAGACTGGAAGAGAGAGGGAAACACAGAGAAAAACATCGATGTGAGAGAAACACATCAATTGGTTGCCTCCTGCCTGGGCAGGGAGGAGCCTGCAACCAAGGTATGACTCAAACCTGGAACCCTTCAGTCCGCAGGCCGACGCTCTATCCACTGAGCCAAACAGGCTAGGGCCTTAACCAATTTTAAATGTTTAGTGGTATTAAGTACATTCGCTTTGTTGTATAACCATCATCACCATCCATCTCAATACCTCTTTTGATCTTGTAAAATGGAAACTATATACCCATTAAATAATAACTCCCATTTCCCCCTACCCCCAGACCCTGGAAATCATCATTCTACTTTCTGTCTCTATGATTTTGATTACTTGAGTACCTTACATAGTATTTGTCTTTTTGTTACTGGATTGTATCACTTAGCATAATGACCTCAAAGGTCATCCTTGTTGTAGCAAATGTCAGAATTTCCTTACTTTTTAAGGCTGAGTAATAATCCATTTTATGTGTATACTGCATTTTGCTTATCCATTCATTCATTAATGGACACTTGGATTTCTTTCACATTTTGGCTATTATAAATAGTTCTTTTGCGAAAATGAATGTGTAAATGTCTCTTCAAGACCCTGCCTTCCATTCTTTTAGTATATACCCAGAAATGGAAGTGCTGGGTCATATGATAATTGTATTTTTAATTTCTTGAAGAACTGCCATACTATTTTCCATAGTAGATATACCATTTTACATTCCACAACTGGTGCACAATTTCTCAACATCCTTACCAACGCTTGCTATTTTCTTGAAGGACTTTGTAAGCCATGTGGGATTTGCACTATTTTGAGTGCAACAAGGAATCACTGAGAAGTTTTAAAGAAGGAAGTTACATGATTTTCTTTTTTAGTAATATTCTGGCTGCAGAATGGAGATTGGATTGAGATCTGGGGGAAGGGACAAATCATGGAGGAGGCTGTTGTAAAAATTCGAGCGAGAGATGACATTCGTAGCTCGTGGGTATGGAGAGAAGTGGGTAGGTTGTCAAGCTGCATAGGAGATGGAATGGTACAATCTGATGATGGACTGGATATGGGTTTCTGGCTTCAACAGCTAGATGGTTCCATTCAGGAAAATAGAGAACACAAGAGGAGAGGATTTGGTGTATGGTGTATGGCTTTTTCATCATGTGCTTTGTATTCATGGAGTGTGTGCACTTGTTCAGATTGTATGTGGGAATATTGCAAAATCTGAGTGATTTTTTTTTTTTGGTATGGTAGGCAGAAAGGATTGATGTTTGTTTTTTAAAATGTGAATACTTAGTTAGACTTATCAAAATTAAAACTTGTATACTTCTAAGTACACCATCAAGAAAGTGAAAAGACACTGGAATAAAACATCAAGAATAGCCTTGGTCATCCTGGCTGGTTTGCTCAGTGGTTAGAACGTCAGCCCTCAGATTGAAGGGTCATGGCTTCGATTTCCAGTTGAGGGGATTTATCTCGGTTGCAGGCTCATCTCCTGCCTTGGATGAGGTACGAACGGGAGACGACAAATTAATATGTCTCTCTCACATCGATGTTTTTCTCTCCCTCTCTCCCTCTCCCCCTCTTTCTTCTACTCTGTCTAAAAAAAATCCAATGGAACAAATATCCTCAGGTGAGGATGAAAAAAGCGTAGCCCTGGCCAGTGTTGGTCAGAGGTTTGAGGGTCGGACTGTACACTGACGAGTTGTGGATTTGATTCCCAGTCAAGGGCATGTGCCTGGGTTGCAGGTTCAATCCCTGGCCCCAGTCAGGCTGCATATAGGAGGCAGCTGATCGATGTGTCTCTCTCATACCAATGTCTCTCCCTCTCCCTCTGCCTCTCCCCCTTCCCCTTCCTCCTCTCTTCCTCCCCTCCACTCTCTAAAAATCAATGGAAAGACTATCATTGGGTGAAGATTTAAAAAAATCAAGAATAGTTAAAAGAAAATGAAAAGACAACCCACAGTGTGGGTAAAGAATATTTGAAAATCGTATGTCTGATAAGGAACTTGTATCTAGAGTATGTAAAGAACTCTAACAATTAGTAATAAAAAGACAAATAACCAAATTTTTAAATGAACAAAGGATTCGAATATACATTTTTCCAGAGATGATACACAAATGGACAATAAGTGTGTGGACAGATATTCAACATCATCATTAGGGAAATACTATCAAAACCACAGTGAAATACTACTTCATTCCTGCCAGAATGGCTATAATAAAAAATACGGACAATGACAAGTATTGGAGAGGGTGTGGAGAAATTGGAACCCTCATATATTGCTGTTGGGATTGTAAAATGGGGTAGCCACTTTGGAAAATAGTTCTGGCAGTTCCTGAAAATGTTAAACATAGAGTTGCCATAGGACCCAGCAATTCTACTTAAGAGTAATGAAAACATTTGTCCACATAAAAACTTGTACACCAGTGTTCATAGTAACATTCATAAAAGCCAAATAAATGGAAACAACTAATATAGTCTCTCCATACAGTGGACTATTTGGCAATAAAAAGGATGCTACAACATGGATGAACCTTGAAAACATTGTTTTGAGTGAAAAAGGCCAGTCAAAAAAGAACATATGTTTCATGATATTATTTATATGACATAACCATAATAGGCAAATCTATAGATACACAAAGTAGATTAGTGGTTGTCTAGGGCTGGGATGGGCGGGGGGAAGGGGGAAAGATGAGTAGTGACTGCTAATGGTTACAGGTTTCCTTTTTGGGGTGATGAAAATGCTTTAAAATTGGATTATGGTGATGGTTGCACAACTCTGTGAATATACTAAGAACTATTATATTTTTTAAATGGGTGACTTTATGGAATGTAAATTACATATCATTAATGTGGGAAGGGAAGGAGAAGGAGAAGGAGGAGGTAAGGGAACCAATTGACAGGTTTGCTTCTCTTCCTGTCCAGCCATCTCTTGCCCAGGTGGTTGGTAGGAGGAAGATGGATATATCTCACCTGATGAGTCCTGCTCTGTTAGAAAATTGCACGTTTCAACTTCATTGATGTTTCATTTTGGTATGATGCTGATAATTGAAATCTTGGGATATCTAGGTCCCTTGTCCGCTAGGTTCTTGCCATGTTTCATTACCTTGTAAATTTTTTCTCGGTTTATAAATTTAGGATTATTCGTGCTTTCCTCCCTCAGAGGATTGTTGTGAAAATCAAATGAAAGTGAGATAACACTTTGAAAGCTGTATAGTCCTAAATAAATATGGAGAATTAGTATTAAGAATCCTAAAGTGCTCTGTATTTTCTTTCCATAGGAGTAAAACACAAATCTTTCCTAACAGTTGAGGACTGTTTTGAGTTGGGCAAAGTGGCCTATACAGAAGCAGATTATTACCATACAGAACTGTGGATGGAGCAGGCGCTCAGGCAGCTGGATGAAGGCGAGGTTTCTACCACTGATAAGGTCTCTGTTCTAGATTATTTGAGCTACGCGGTGTACCAGCAGGGAGACCTCGATAAGGCACTTCTGCTTACAAAGAAGCTTCTTGAACTAGGTATGTTAACTTGACATGGTTCAGGGTTATAGATATATACATCATCATATAGCTGTGGTACTTTTTGTTAGAATTCAAGCACCTTGTTTGTCAGATATACTTGATCCTCTTTCTGATGAGCCTCTAAATGGCACTTGATTTTTCTCACCTAGTAGTACTACAACAGTGGCTGTGTTTCTCTGCTCTGCTCTTCGGGAATTTCAAAATTGGACCTAATCTAGCTAACTCAGTCAAAAATGTTTATTTACCATGTTGCTATATTAAATATTAACTAGTTTCCTTTGAAGGGTGTTTTTGGTTAATTGCATTTCATATTAAAATGATAGAAAAATGTAATAGCTTATGAGGATTTCACAACTAGTATTTTGAACAGAGTTGTAGTGTTTCTCTGCGTATGATCCAGGGACCATGTGCCTCAGAACTACTTGGATACATATTAGAAATGAAAATTCCTTGAGCTCCACCCCAGACCTATAAATCAGAATCTCTGGAGGTAAAGTGGTGTGCTAATAGATTCTGGTGGCCTTTGGTATATAATGAAGCTTTAAACTTTAAAGTTAATATTTTTATGAATAGATAAATATATATATGTTAGAAGAGTGAAACAGTTCAAAAGGATTGGCCATCAGAAAGTGAACTTTTGATAATTAGATTATTATATCTTAGTTGAATGAATAAATTGAGGTATTGGTCCTAGTACCCTTTTTCCCCCCAGTATTTTTTAGTGATTTTTTCCCCCTCTTGACTTAAAAAAAAACTTTACTCATTGTAGGAAAGTTGCTTTTTCTTTCTTCTTTTAAAAATAATTCTTTATTGTTGAAAATATTACATATGTTCCCTTTTTGCCCCCATTGATCCCCTCCAGCCTACCCCTGCCCCCCACCCCAGGTCTTCACCACCCTATTGTCTGTGTCCATGGGTTATGCATATATGTATACAAGGTCTTTGGTTGATTACCTCCCACCCACCCACCCTCCCCCGCCTTCCCTCTGAGATTCCGCACTCTGTTCCATGCTTCCATGTCTCTGGATCCACTCCATTCATCAGGTTATTTTGTTACTTAGATTCCACATCTGGGTGAGATCATGTGATACTTGTCTTTCTCTGAAGGACTTATTTCACTTAGCATGATACTCTCCAGGTCCCTCCATGCTGTCTCAAAGGGTAAGAGATTCTTCTTTTTTACTGCTGCATAGTATTCCATGGTGTAAATGTACCACTGCTTTTTTATCCACTCACCTACTGATGGGCACTTGGGCTATTTCCAGATCTTAGCTATTGTAAATTGTGCTGCTATGCAATAGGGGTGCATATATCCTTTCTGATTGGTGTTTCTCGTTTCTTAGGATATATTTCATTGTAGGAAAGTTTTAAAATAGAAAAAGATATAGAAGTCATCCATAAGCCAATCACCCAAAGACACCTACAAACTTTTTTTGTTTCCTTGTTGTATATACCCGCTTCACACACACACTTTCCCTTTCTTTTACAAAATGAGGCTCATGTTGTATACCATAACATATATTGGGAGCAGTTTCTCAAAGACAAGAAACGTTTTAGAAATAAGAGTAGATTTCCTAAATATGTCAACTAACGTCACAAGTGAAGTTTCTACAAACTCTTCTGCCACTTTTATTTGTGTGTGTGGTGGTGGTTTTTCCTCCTGGATGGGTGGAGTAAGTCCTCTTTCCTCTACTGAGACATAGCTAAAAATCATGACTAGTAATTCAGAGGTAATTAGTGGATTCCGGCTTATTTGAAAATTACATCTTTAGTTTCTGTTTTCTGTCTCATTTAGAATTTTGGGGCTAAAATCCACTCAGCCCTCAGAAATAGGCTGTGTTCTATATTTATAATTTATCTGTGGAAAAGGTTGCTTTTGAACTTACACAGTGTCTCCCCATCGTAGTTACATTTCAGTCTCAGAAAACATCTTTTCCATTGCGGAAAAGAAAAAATTGAGAAATTTAAAAAACTCATTTGACACCACAATGATCAGACATAGTTCCTTTGGCTAATTAGTAAGTTCTCAAAGTAGAAGCAGTAATTGCTACTTTGAAAAAAAAAAAAAAAAAAGGCCACTTTTGTCTCCAGAACTTGGTATAGGGTGACTGTATGTCCTGCTTTACTTGGGGCAGTACTGGTTTACACCTGTTGTTTGGCATAATAATTTTTACTAGTGCCTTCTTTCACTCTCGGAAGCATACTGGTTTGGAAGGTAAATTGTATGGCCCTCTGTTTTTTATTACTGTATTCTGATGTTTGCACAACAATAAGCTTATTCATGGGTGTGCTCTTTCTCTTCCAATAGATCCTGAACATCAGAGAGCTAATGGTAACTTAAAATATTTTGAGTATATAATGGCTAAAGAAAAAGATGCCAATAAATCTGCTTCAGATGACCAATCTGATCAGAAAACCACGCTGAAGAAAAAAGGGGTTGCCGCGGATTACCTGCCAGAGAGACAGAAGTACGAAATGCTGTGCCGTGGGGAGGGTATCAAAATGGTAAAGTGGAAAAGCCAATTGTGTGTGTGTGAGTGTGTGTGTGTGTGTGTGTGTATGTGTTTGTACAAAGCTCTAGAGAGAATCAAGTTCTTTTCTATTTAAGTCTGTGTGATAAAATCAGAATTACTGCATAAAGTGTTATAGTGTGCCACATCACCTTATTGTGAGGCTCACACAAAGTGCTCCAAGTGCTAATAAAATAGCTTTAAAATAAAGCCTGTGAATCATACACCATTCATGCAATTTTGGTAATATTACCCTTTTCATAGATTAAAAGGTGAAGGATCTGATAATATAAGGGAAGTGATAAAGTTTTTTTCTTATATCTTTAAAAAAAATTGGTTTTAGAGAGGAAGGAAGGGGAAGAGAGAGAGAAAGAGAGAGAAATATTGATGTGAGAGAGATACATTGATTGGTTGCCTCCTGTTTGTGCCCTGACTTGGGATTGAACCCACAACCTTCTGGTGCATGGGACAACACTCCAGCCACTGAGCCACACCAGCCAGGGCTTCTTATATCTTAATGCAAAAGAGGTTTCAGCAGTCTTAAATAGAAGTAATATCCCTTCCTAATCTATCCTCTGAAACAATGCATTCATCTGTACAATAATCTCTTGTGGTTTTGCTCCTGTTCCACCTTGACGGGATTGTTCAGTGAAACATTTGTCTATTTCAGAAATATTTAAAATGCAGAAAGACTTTTAAGAGATTTTGGCTTTATTTTTTCTTTAAAATAAAATATATCTATAAATATCCCTTTGTTTATTGTGTACTTATATTTATGCATTTGTAACTTAGGGTACTGTACTTTAGGATGGTTCTAGATAATAGGCCCAAAACAAAAGCATTCAAGTCTGGGAAACATAGGTTTTTGTTCAGCCTCAGTACTTTTCAGAGCCCTTTTATGTTACTGTGCATTCTGGATATGGTATACATTGCTTCCCAACATTAACTGGTAATGGAACCCTCTCTTAAGGTACTAGTGTCCAGCTGAAGGTGAGCATAAGTGGGAGGAAGTGTATTAGTGAATTTTCAAAGTAAGTATTTTTAAGTGTAAACATTTGAATACATAGTGTTTAACTTTTTCTCTACTACTGATAAACTCAGGCGGGGCTTTATGTTTTGGTATTGATGACTTTTTGATATTTGATGATTTACTGTTGACAGCATAACCTCTAACATCAAAAAGTCAACCATATTTTTGTTGACACCTTTGGGTGTTCTAAGTTGATGAAGTCCTGGAAGAACAAGTCTACTCTTTCTTTGGGAGCTAATAGTAAAGACAAGGATTATAACACTTTGCTAGACTCATGAAACATTTTTAAAAACTTACATCTAAATATTTTAGTATCTTTTATAAATAAGGACTGTTAAAAAAATAACCACAATACCATTATCACACCTAAAAGAATTTACAGTGGTTCCATTATATCATCAAAATTTAGTTAAGTATTCAAATTTCAAATAGTACATGTTTGTTTTATTTTTTTTTAATCTTCACCCAAGAATATTTTTCCATTGATTTTTAGAGAGAGTAGAAGAGAGAGGGAAAGACAGAGAAACATTGACATGAAAGAGACACATCAATTGGTTGCCTCTTGCACGAGCCTGGGGCAGGGAGGAGCTTGCAACTGAGGTACGTGCCCTTGACCAGAATCGAACCTGGGACCCTTCAGTCCGCAGGCCGGCGCTCTATCCACTGAGCCAAAAAGGGTAGGACAGCACATGTGTTTTATTGCTCTTAATAACTCTTAAAGAAGAGAGCAAAATAGATCTTTTAAGTATAAAACATTAGTCTGCTAATTTGTCAGTTTGTTAATATAACACACACATGCCAAACCTGCCCAAGATCAAAGGAGCATTCTTTTTCTCAGAATAAGTTCATATCATTATTATGTAAAACATTTATTTGATATGAAACTTTGGATTTTATTTTAGGTAAATAAAGTACATGGAGAATAAACATGAATCATTGTTTGTTTTAGTATGTTAACTAATAATTAAAGCAAAACTAATATTATTCCTACTTCATATATGTCATACTTGTTTAATCAAGAGAGCAATCAGCAATGCATTAACTTAATTATTAATACTACATAGGTGATTGAAAGAAACTTTTATTTGCTTTGTTGTCCGCTCTATTTTATTTTATTTTTTTTTAATTAAATCTTTATTGTTCAGATTATTACATTTGTTGCTCTTTTTTTCCCCCCATAACTCCCCTCCTCCCAGTTCCCGCCCCACCCTCCGCCCTCACTCCCCACCCACTGTCCTCATCCATAGGTGCACGATTTTTGTCCAGTCTCTTCCCGCATCCCCCACACCCCTTTCCCCCCCAGGAATAGTCAGTCCATTCCCTTTCTATGTCCCTGATTCTATTATAATCAACAGTTCATTCTGTTCATCAGATTATTTATTCACTTGATTCTTAGATTCACTTGTTGATAGACGCATATTTGTTGTTCATAATTTGTATCTTTACCTTTTTCTTCCTCTTCCTCTTCTTAAAGGATACCTTTCAGCATTTCATATAATCCTGGTTTGGTGGTGATGAACTCCTTTAGCTTTTCCTTATCTGTGAAGCTCTTTATCTGACCTTCAATTCTGAATGATAGCTTTGCTGGATAAAGTAATCTTGGTTGTAGGTTCTTGGTATTCATCACTTTGAATATTTCTTGCCACTCCCTTCTGGCCTGCAAAGTTTCTGTTGAGAAATCAGCTGACAGTCGTATGGGTATTCCCTTGTAGGTAACTGAGTTTCTTTCTCTTGCTGTTTTTAAGATTCTCTCTTTATCTTTTGCTCTTGGCATTTTAATGATGATGTGTCTTGGTGTGGTCCTCTTTGGATTCCTTTTGTTTGGGGTTCTCCGCGCTTCTTGGACCTGTAAGTCCATTTCTTTCACCAGGTGGGGGAAGTTTTCTGTCATTATTTCTTCAAATAGGTTTTCAATATCTTGGTCTCTCTCATCTTCTGGCACCCCTATAATTCTGATGTTGGTACGCTTGAAGCTGTCCCAGAGGCTCCTTACACTATCCTCGCATTTTTGGATTCTTTTTTCATTTTGCTTTTCCGGTTGGGTGTTTTTTGCTTCCTCGCATTTCAAATCATTGACTTGATTCTTGCGCTCCTCTGGTCTGCTGTCGGGAGTCTGTATAATATTCGTTATTTCAGTCCGTGTATGCTTAATTTCTAGTTGGTTCCCCAATATAAGATCGAGGGTCTCATTAGATTTCTTGAGGATCTCACTACATTTATCGGCGGCTTCTAGACAGTTCTTAAGAGACCTTAAAAGTGTGGTTCTGAACTCTATATCTTCCATTGACAATTTTGTCCTGTTTCTTTGTCTCCGCATTTTGTTATGCTTCCTTGGTGCACCTCCTAGTGGTCTTTGTTTGCAGTCTTATAGTTAAATCTTGATTGTTGTAGCTAATTCCAGGGAGGGTTTGACCTCTAGGCCAAGTGGCTATGAGAATCAGCTGTGTCAGTAGTGAGAGAACTTCTGTCCTCTAGGGAGGTGCTAATCTAGCCTTTGCCTGAGGCTATCCGGCAAATGCCTGTGTGCAGGGCTTGGGCGGGGCGGGTAGAACAGGATCAACAGGGTGGGCCGGAGAGAGCAGTTATGGCGGCTCTCAGTCCTGTCCCCAGGGGCTCTGCCTCTCTGAGTCCCAGCACCCGCTGCAAAGCTCAGAGAGAAAGCTGCACTCGCTCTGACCGAAGCCAGACAGTCCCGCTTCTCCCGTTTGAGTCTGGGTCCCTAAAGACTCGCCCGGATCTGGAGCTCAGAGTCTGCGACTCCCTCCCGATTGAAAACGCCAACCGCGCCCTCCGCCGCCAGCCCGCTCCGCGCACTCCGCACCTCAGATTTTGACTTCAGCACTGCGCCTCCTCTGAGTGTCCGTATGCGTTTCTCTTTCCTCCTAGTTGTAGGACTTCCACTCAGCCAGCGTTCCTGTGGTTCTGGGTGATGTCCCTTCCGTTTTTTGGTTTCACTTTTGAAGTAGTTGTTCAAAGCAGCAAACTCCGGCGTTAACCTATGCCGCCATCTTGGTTCTCCTCTGTTGTCCGCTCTATTTTAAATACCCACTAATAAAAGCACCTGATTTCTTAGTTTAATAATTTATTTTCTCTTGTTTAGAGCTACCCATTTTTATTTTGGCTTTAAAAAAAAAAACCAACCTTTGAAAAAAATTTTTTTGGCCATAAGTATTTGAGAGTTTTTTTGTTTTTTGTTTTTTTGTTTTGTTTGTTTTTAATCAAAACCTGGTTAGGTTTTTTGTTTTTGTTTTGTTTTCCTTTTAGAAACTTTTTCTTTCAGAATGTTGTCCAGTTACTTTGTGAAGTTTAGAGCAATGCTGATAATTTATTTCATATTTCTATAACATTTATTTCATATTTATAACAACTGAACTTTATTTTGATGAGAGGAGGGTAAAAAAACCCTACATTTTTTCTTAAGGTCTACCATCTCTCTCCCAGAAAATAATCATTAATAAAAAAATTTAAATCCTGAAGGTCCTCTCCTAGCTGGTTGGACTCAGTGGATAGAGTGTTGGCCTCAGACTGAAGGGTCCTGGGTTTGATTCCAGTCAAGGGCACACGCCCGGGTTGCAGGCTCGATCCCCAGTAGGGAGTGTGCAGGAGGCAGCCGATCAATGATTCTCATCATTGATGTTTCTCTCTCTCTCTCTCTCTCTCTCTCTCTCTCTTTCTCCCCCTCTCCCTTCCTCTCTCAAATCAATAAAAATGTATATTTTAAAAAAAATCCTGAAGGTCCTGTTTGATGCAAAGTATTTGTAAAGAACTGGTTTTTTTGGTCGTCTTCTGCAGATAACTTTGTGTATTCATGAGCATGATTACTGTTTCTTATCTGCATAGGAACAAGCATTAAAAATGTTATTACTCTAATATATTTATCATCTTTTTAACTTTATGTTTAGACTCCTCGGAGACAGAAAAAACTCTTTTGCCGCTACCATGATGGAAACCGGAATCCTAAATTTATTCTGGCTCCAGCCAAACAGGAGGATGAGTGGGACAAGCCTCGTATTATTCGCTTCCATGATATTATTTCTGATGCAGAAATTGAAATTGTCAAAGATCTAGCAAAACCAAGGGTAAATAACTTTTTTCCCCTCTTAATTTATATAACTGTGTATCAGTTTTTCCTTTGTAAGATTACAGAAAAGATCGTTGATATGGCACTAACCCCACAGATAGTTTTAGATAGCATCACCACATCATAATGGAGTTGTTAACTAAACTGTATTTATACCAGTTTTTCCTTAGTTTGTTACCAAAACAAATAATATATCTTGCAAATTGGTTTTTTAAAAATTAAGTTTATTGGGGTGACATTGTTTAATAGCATTATATGGAAATAGATTTTAAACTCTTAATTATGAAAATAATAGATGAGATTTTTATTTCACACTTAAATTTGTTTCAGCATCCTTCTGAAAAGTTTTCTAAGTACTTTGGAGCCCTTTAGTCTCAGAGACTAATCAAAAATCAAATTTTTCATTCTTCTATTATTTTTATCTGAAAGAATATTTAAAGTATTTTTATTCCTTTTAAGGCACATTATTACTGGAAATAGTTAGGCACAAGCATCAGGCTAATTTTAAATAATAACATCATAGCTTTCTGACTTTAACCTACATCATTTATCTTAATAAGAAAAACAATTTTATGTAAATGCAATCCTATAAACTTAGTGTTTAGTGTAGAAATTCTTCTTTTGTGAGAATATGAGAAAGACTGTCCTTTATGCTCTTGCCTTATTTATTTATTTTTACCATCAGCTTGTTTTTAAAACATGTTTAGTCTTCATTGTAAAGTACAAACTGTCATTACTTTCATAAAGAGATTGTTTAATACACACTGCATATTTTTGCTCTTTTATTACACAGGAGTTACCAAATTTCTTCTTTATAGGTCCAGATAGTAAATACTTTTTAGGCTTTGCAGGCCATACAGTCTGTCAAAACCACTCAACTCTGCTGTTGTAGTGCAAAGGCAGCCATAGCATATAATGAGTATGGCTATATTCCAATAAAACTTCATTTCCAAAAGCAGGTGGCAGGCTGAATTTGGCCCATGGCATCATTTGCTGATCCTAGTTATATCGTAAAGATTGAATTATCTGGATAGTTGTACTGCAGAATGACAGAGTTAGAATTGTTGTTAAGTTTTACTGCTTTTCCAAATTGCTACTTTTTGTTTTTGTTTTTTTTACCAAAGATTACATTTTAAATGGAAAAGGCAGTCTAATAAATATGGTTGCTTTACATGTGAATCCTTAAAAGTTTCTGTTTAATAATTACATAATATTCTATCATTCTCTTGTAGTCCAAGATTTCTATTGTAGTCCATAATTTGTAGTCAATAAGCCCAGTAAACTAAAGTATCTTGGTAGAATATTTATAAAGAGTTCATTTCATCCTGGAGATTGTCTTATGTCTCTAGGTATGGAGGCCAAAGTCTTCCAAAGGGATGCCTCAGTGGTTTTATTTTTAATATGTCAACAGATTCAGTGGCAGTAAGAATTTCATGTTTGTTTTGATAACCTCAGAATCATCCTCCTTTAAAAAAGAAGTGTAAAGTCATTGTCTCGACTGTCATCTTTTTAAATGATTTTTACATTTATGAGTTCTTTTCATTTGCATTGTGCTCAGTCCAAGATTATTTCACAGTATAAGTGAAATATATGAGCAGATATCTTGAAGGAAGAAAAGATGGACCTTGAAATAAATTTTGAACATTAACCTTTGTGAAATAGTATCACTAAAAAAAATTAAAGTCAGAAGTTTGGAATGGATCATTAATTGCAAATAACCATTTTTATAACTATAAATTAGACTTCAAATTTTAGGAATTTCTCTTTTTCTCACTGTCACATGCTCTAACCATTGAGAGAAATTAAATTTTTAATCTCTTCAAGTACCCTCTATTTATGCAAAACAAAACATTTTTTAAAATAACTTAAAAAATATATAAAAACCTAAAAAAAACACATGGGCTTTCAAAGCTCAACACAAGGTGATTGGAAGTCTATGGAGCTGTTTTCTCTTTTCAGCTTCCATTATAAAAAAATCCTAGAATTCTGACTGGTTGGGTAAATGTGATACATTTTTGTTTTGTAATGCAAGTATTTTGATGGTTGGCTTCACAGCTGAGGCGAGCCACCATTTCAAATCCAATAACAGGAGACTTGGAGACGGTACATTACAGAATTAGCAAAAGGTAAGAGATGTGTATGCTGCATATTTTGATCTCTAATGAGTGTTTTGTACATCCTACAGGAATTATTCATTTCAAGGAAGTAGGTCATTTTCAGTCTCCAGCTCCAGTCACCGCCTGTTTATATACACATGGATAAACTGCTTCGTGTTTCACAGGTCTTTCCCATTAACTAGAAGTTCTGTTTTTAATTTTTAATTGGTCTGTTATTTTTAGGGAATTAATAGGCGTTGCATCTCTGTTCTGGTCAGGAATTAAATATCCAAGAAATGGCTTGATACTTGTTTTCTTTTTCCCCTTTCTTGCCAAGGGGGAGAAAAAGCAAAAGCAGCGGTCTTTGTTTATGCAGCTCTCTTAACATTCATAAATGCTGTGAATTTACATCAGCCTTCATGGTGATTGTATTGGCATTTGTTCATACATCTTGTAAAATACCATTGTCATTTTGGAGTAATCTGTATTCCTCCTGTTGGAGTTTTTATTTTAAAAACCTTGCTGACTTAAAAGTTGGTGATGGAAAGAACAGAGTTATTTTTCTTATTTCTCTTCCAATTGCTATTACTTGTGAATTTAGTTGCCTTTTATTTTCCCAGAGAGACTTAACAACAGTTTTGTCTTGGTGAGAGTTTAAAAAAATGAATTCAAAGAGACTACTAATTATTCTTTTGTTATAATATTTAAAGAACATTAAACTTCTAAATTTGAGAAAGTTCCTGTGAAACCCAGTGCTATATAAGTCATTTACATACAGCTTCAAATGATTTTTTTTTTAAAAAAAAGTGAAAGGACAATAAATACACAACAAAAATTTGTCAACTCGTTTTCTCTTGATTTGGAAGTGGCTTTTCTAATTGCCACATTTCTAAATGTTTTTGCTGATTTGAAACCATTATCTACCATCCAGACCAATCTGAACCCTTCCAATCACCTGTGGCTTGGCAAAACAAAATAAAACAAAAGTCCAAAATTGCCTGCTACGTGAGTAAGTGCTTGTCCTTTCTCTTTTTTTGTAGCTGAGCCGAGCTACAGTACATGACCCTGAGACTGGAAAATTGACCACAGCACAGTACAGAGTATCTAAGAGGTAAGGGAGTAATGGAGAGAACTTTAGTCATATTTGGACCATTTTCTTTATTGAAAATCTAATTTTCATAAAACTCATGATATGGTTTCAGAGACCTAGGCTGTTAGGCATAGGTGTTTGATGACAACCACACCTGAATTTTCATGATGGACTAATAAACAAACATGGTTATGGGGAAATTAATAGAGATTTATTAAATTTCAAAATCCTTCCCTGGCCAGTGTGGCTCAGTTGGTTGAAGCATTGAAAGGTTGCGGGTTCAATTCCCCATCAGGGCACATACCCAGGTTGCAGTTCAATTCCAGTCCTGGTGCATAAGAGAGACAACCAATGGATGTTTCGCTCTTTCCTTCCCTCCCTCCCCTTTCCTCTTCCTCTTCCTCTTCCTTTCCTTCCTTCCTTCTTTATCTTCCTCTCTTCCTTCTTTATCTTCTCTCTCTAAAATCAATAATAAAAAAAACACACCCTGCTGTGACTCCCCAAACCCTGCCAGCTAAGTGAAGTTGTATTCTCATATTGAAGGGGGGTTCCCAAAGACTTCATAGAACAAGGCCTAACTTGGTCTGTATATAGTAAAGCAGGGGTTTAAACATCTCTGGGTAACCCAGTAGCTATAGGTATTAAGAAAGTAAATGCCTTTAAAGATTATATAACAAATTATTTGCAAATCCATTGGTTTTAAATTCTTTCACATGTACAATGTTTAAAGAGAATCTACCAAAGTCTAGATCACTGAAATAATTTTTAATAATAGATAACTGTAATTTATGTATTTAAGGTAAAAGGAGCTCACAGAATGAGTTATATTATTTCAACAGAACTCATTTTCCATCTACTTAAGTATGTTAATTAGGTTTCTTAAATATCATAAAAATGAAAATAGAAATATAATTGAGCTGAATTCAGTCTCATTCTAGCAACAAGTAATATTTATCCACAGGTACAATACCTAATTGACAATTACAAAATAAGCCCAATCCATCTCAATAGGAACATCCTATATAATAAAGAGCTACTATGCTAATGGTCATGACACCCTCACGCCGTAACGACCATTCAGCAGGAGGCTGTGTGTGCCGTAGGGCAGAGCTGCTGCGTTGCTCCAGAGATGGGGCGGAAGCGGGAGGCACCTGGAGGAGGCAGGACCATCCCGTGGTGAGGAGGGCAGGGGTGAGAGCCCATAGTGCCCCCACTCACCGGCCCTTCGCTACCCACTGCTTGCACTCAGCATGCTGCCGCCTACCTGCCAGGGGAAGGATCACAGTGCGTGCGCTGCCAGGAAGTGGCGCTCGAAACTCCGGAGTAGGCAGGAGGCTTCCACACACTCCTCCAGTGCCACACACTCCTCGGAGCCGCCTCATTGCTCGGAGACCGGGCGGAAGCGGGAGGCACCGGAGGAGTCGGGACCAGCCCGAGGTGACTCATGGGACCAAGGGTGGGGCTTGAAGCGGCTAGAGAAGGCTGGAGGGGTTGGGGGCGGGGCCAGGAGCGCTCAAGCTCTGGGTGGAGAGGTTAGGGCAGGGGTGGGCAAACTTTTTGACTCGAGGGCCACAATGGGTTCTTAAACTGGACCGGAGGGCCGGAACAAAAGCATGGATGGAGTGTTTGTGTGAACTGATATAAATTCAAAGTAAACATCATTACATAAAAGGGTATGGTCTTTTTTTTTTTTTTTAGTTTTATTCATTTCAAACGGGCCGGATCCGGCCCGTGGGCCGTAGTTTGCCCACGGCTGGGTTAGGGTGTCAAGGTAGGGCAGTGTGCGGGTGGGCGGGGGTGCACAATTTCACGCACCGGGTCACTAGTTTTAATTTATTTTTTTTATATTTGATAATGACTAACTGTGTTTAGATTAACTGTATTACCAATAATTATAAGTCATTCCAGGAGACATTTTTAACAGGCCTTTATGTTATAGATTTATACTTTATCAATTTGCATAGATATTTTTGTAGAGAAGTTCTATGTAATAAAAGTATAATATGCAAATCAACCAAATGGCAGAATGACCAGTCAACGGGGGCGTGGACCAGCGAGCAAGCAGCGCCAGGCCAGCTAAGGCACATGCTAGTGGGCAGAGGGAGGGGATGGTGATGGGGGGGATGTGGCGGCAGCCAGCTGCCACAGAGGGGTGATGGGGGGTGGCCTGCTCGCCGGTCGGTGCTGTCCCCTCATCAGCCCATCTGGTAGCCTCCCGCAGAGGGAGGCCAGACTGAGGCTTAGGCCCTCTCCAGGAGCAGGCCTAAGCTGTCAGTTGGACATCCCCTGGGGACTCCCAGACTGTGAGAGGGCACAGGCTGGGCTGAGGGACCTCCCCCCGAGTGCATGAATTTTCGTGCACTGGGCCTCTAGTAATATGATAAAAAACTTTTAGGCATAGAAATATATCACTCTAGGACAGGGCTTCTCAACCTCAGCACTACTGGTATTTTGGATCAGATAATACTTTGTCATTGGAGGCTGTCCTGAGCTTTGTAGGATGTTGAACAGCATCTCTATCTGTACCCACTCGATGCCCGTAACACCCTTCACCCCAGTTGTGACAATCAACAATGTCTCCAGACCAGGGGTGGGCAAACTTTTTGACTCGAGGGCCACAATGGGTTCTTAAACTGGACCGGAGGGCCGGAACAAAAGCATGGATGGAGTGTTTGTGTGAACTAATATAAATTCAAAGTAAACATCATTACATAAAAGAGTATGGTCTTTTTTTTTTTTTAGTTTTATTCATTTCAAACGGGCCGGATCCGGCCCGTGGGCCGTAGTTTGCCCACGGCTGCTCCAGACACTGTACCTGGGTAGGCAAAATCTCCACCACCATCCCCCAGGACTCCACCTCTCCACCCTATTGAGAACCGCTGTTCTAGGATAAGAATGGAATTAAAATGAAAGTCCAAGGGAAAAAGTGATGTAAAATTGTTAAGTATTACAAATCACTTTATTCATGTATTTTTAAAAATATGTATATGTTTTTTATTGGTTTGAGAGAGGAAGGGAGAGGGGGAGAGAGAGAGAGAGAAACATCAGTGATGAGAGAGAATCACTGATTGGCTGCCTCCTGTGCACCCATTACTGGGGATCGAGCCCGCAACACGGACACATGCCCTTGATCAGAATTGAACCTAGGACCCTTCAGTCCGCAGGCCGATGCTTTATCCACTAAGCCAAACTGGCTAGGGCTATTAATGTATTTTTTTTTAAAGTGGATGGTGGAGGGCATCAAATCATTATGGTAGAGTCCATTGGATATATTAAAATCATCATTTTTCAGAAATTACCACTATTTTCATCCTTTGAAACTATTATGTTAAAAAATTTTAGTTGTCAACTAGAAAACTGTACAAAATAGTACATAGATTTTAAAAACTATTTTAGGAGATACTCAGATGAAAAGGATTTGAATATTACTGCTGTAAGTCACAGCAAAAGTACTAGGAAGGATGGAGGGATTGTGTTGATATGTTTCCTTATTCTTTTGGGGCAGAGCTATATGTTCTTCATATATTAACTTTCATCATCCCCACAAACATATCCTGGTTTCTTGACTGTCTGCCCTATACTACTGCCTTCGCCCTTACCCCAGTTAAAAGACATAATTAAAATTTTCTATAATATTATTTTGATTCAGGAGCACTAATAGATGATAAGGATTTGCAGAAACTAATTTGTAGTATGTGTCATGTCTAAAAAAATTAACCTCATCTATTTTTGAAAATAGTAACTTAAGCCATTACATATTTTATCAGACATTACTGCATGGTTTTTAGGCATTTTTACTGTCATAAAGGTTATAAATATCCAAATTCTCCAGATTTGGATGCTTTTAGGAAGCATGTGAACCAAAATTTAATGAATTTAGAGTTTTGGAAGTCAGTTTTCATATATTCAGTGCACCTTTTGAAGAAATATCCAGCCCACAGTGTCATTGGACTCTTACCAACAAGTCAGTATAAATTATTCTTGGAAAGGTGACCTACAAACATTTTTTCATTGAGAACTAAATATTTCTAAACATATTGAAATTATTTTTTAAATATTCTAATTTTATAGCTCTGAGAAACAATTTTATTAAGTTTTTGAGAAAGGCACAACCATACTTTATATTATATATAGCAGCAGAAAATGCTTAGTGAGTAGCATTAGAAGACTGAGTAACACCAGAATAAATTCACCCAGCCTTTGCAAATTATACGAAGTATGTGAGTATTTCTGTTTAAAACATCCTAGTTAAAAGGGAATTCCATAGCACAGTGATTTTATCTTTACTCTTGGGAAAACATTTTTTTTAAAAAAATTAAATCTTTATTGTTCAGATTATTACAGTTGTTCCTCTTCCCCCCCCCCCCCCCCATAGTTCCCCTCCACCCGGTTCCCACCCAACCCTCTGCCCTTACCCCCCCCCCCCACTGTCCTCATCCATAGGTGTATGATTTTTGTCCAGTCTCTTCCTGCCCCCCCACACCTCTTCCCCGCCCCCCCGAGAATAGTCAATCCACTCCCTTTCTATGCCCCTGATTCTATTATATTCACCAGTTTATTCTGTTCATCAGATTATTCGCTTGATTTTTAGATTCACTTGTTGATAGATGTGTATTTGTTTATAATTTGTATCTTCTTTACCTTTTTCTTCTTCCTCTTCTTAAAGGATACCTTTCAGCATTTCATATAATACTGGTTTGGTGGTGATGAACTCCTTTAGCTTTTTCTTATCTGTGAAGCTCTTTATCTGACCTTCAATTCTGAATGATAGCTTTGCTGGATAAAGTAATCTTGGTTGTAGGTTCTTGGTATTCATCACTTTAAATATTTCTTGCCACTCCCTTCTGGCCCGCAAAGTTTCTGTTGAGAAATCAGCTGACAGTCGTATGGGTATACTCCCTTGTAGGTAACTGACTGTTTTTCTCTTGCTGCTTTTAAGATTCTCTCTCTGTCTTTTGCTCTTGGCATTTTAATTATGATGTGTCTTGGTGTGGTCCTCTTTGGATTCCTTTTGTTTGGGG